TGATCCTACTCCCTTTGGGAAGGCCCCGGACTCCAACCCAACCACCGTTGACCCTTCTGGAGAGACCTGGGCTCCAACCCAACCACCATTGACCCTTGGGAGGGACCTGGGCTCCAACCCAACCACCGTTGACCCTTGGGAGGGACCTGGGCTCCAACCCAACCACCATTGACCCTTGGGAGGGACCTGGGCTCCAACCCAACCACCGTTGACCCTTGGGAGGGACCTGGGCTCCAACCCAACCACCATTGACCTTTGGGAGGGACCTGGGCTTCAACCCAACCACCATTGACCCTTTTGGGGGGACCCAGACTCCAACCCAACCACCATTGACCCTTGGGAGGGACCTGGGCTCCAACCCTTCCATCGTTGACCCATGGAAGGGACCTACATGTCCATGCTTGATCCTACTACCTTTGGGAAGGCCCCAGACTCCAACCCAACCACCGTTGACCCTTCTGGAGAGACCTGGGCTCCAACCCAACCACCATTGACCCTTGGGAGGGACCTGGGCTCCAACCCTTCCATCGTTGACCCATGGAAGGGACCTACATGTCCATGCTTGATCCTACCACCTTTGGGAAGGCCCCAGACATCCAGTCTCCCACCCCACCACTCCCCCACCCCATGATACCCCAGTTTGACCCCATCCCACGGGATAGGCCTCACCATCCGTGTCTTGACGGTCGCCCCCAGGCATGGAGTGGATCCCCACCGAAGTGCGGGCCGTGGTGGGCACCATCAACGGCTACTGCTACACCTTGGGGCAGTTCGTGCTGGCGGCCACGGCCTTCGGCCTCCCCCATTGGCGTTGGCTCCAGCTCGTCGTCTCCCTCCCCTTCTTCATCTTCTTCCTCTACTCCTGGTACGGGGAACCCGGGCATCTGGGGGTGCCCCCCACCCTCTTGGGTTGGGTTGGGAGGAGTTGGATGGTAGGATCTCCTTAGGGGTGCTGGTGGGGACACCTGGGTGGTGGGGACACCTGGGTGGTGGGAGGTGCACGGTGGGTCTGGGGAACCCCCTGGACCCCCGAGTCCCCCCCGTAACCCCTCATCCCAACCCCCCCCCGAGGCTGTTTGTGGAGTCCGCCCGGTGGCAGGTGATTTCGGGGAGACCCGACCTGGCCCTCAAGGGGCTCCGCAAAGTCGCCCGCGTCAACGGGAGGAAGGAGGAAGGGGACAAACTCAACGAGGAGGTGACGGGGGGGGG